CATTGGGTTTCTTTTTCTCCCTTCTGAATGTTTAACATGGAAAACAAAGTGTAAATGTTCAAAAGATTTCCAGTCATGAAAATCTCATCACCTATGAAAGCATAGTAGGAACCAACACCTTTGAACGGTTAATTAACTCAACAAACATGTATTACACATCTTCTATTATAACTGAATGAGTCACCAGTCTGCTGAGCATCTACGAAATATGGAGAGATCTTGGGTAATGCAGAGACAATGGAAGAGCGTAGTCAGTCCCTTCTCTTAAGCAACTTACAACCTACTTGAGGAAAACTAAATATACAAATTGAGGAGGACTAAATGGAAATTTACACAATACAAAAGTAATCAATAAACATTCGTTGAGTTCCTGTTGTATGGATAGCGCACAGCAGGTACTCACATGAACAAAGCTAATACACACATTCTCAACATCTGTTCAAATGCTAAAGGTTCACAGGGGGATGAGATTACCTTGGTGTTAACAGGGTTAAGGAATTGTTTGAAAGAGCAGGAAGCCAGGAAAGGGCTACCCTGTGCTTGGCAGCAGGGCAGATGCCAGAACCTTCAGGTAGCAGAACAGCCCCCTCCTTCCACCCAAGTAGCTAGGAGAGGTGAGAAACCACAGGAAGGGAATTCAGTCATCTGAAGCCCACCTGTAGGCCTGTGGTTTGTGGACCACCTGTGGGAGAATCACCCGGAGATCTTACAAATGTATATTTCTCTAACCTACTCTAGAGCCCTCATCACATCAGAGCCTTTCAAGGTGAACTTTAGAGATCCACACTGAACACACTGCCTGTGATGCTCCTGCACACTGAAGTTTCTGAACAACTCACTTGATGAGAATAACAGTGACAGACTGATTCTGACCTGAGTTCCAGGCCTGTCTCCACAGCTTTGGGATAAGTTGCCCCCTTCTGCACAGCCTCTCTAGGGTTCTGTTTGCCCATCTGTCGAATGAAAACAGTAAATGCTATCTACCTCTAGTCTCATTGTGAGGATCAAATGATTAAATAATCTAAGATGCTTATGTGTACAGTGAGCATAAAAGCAATAGGAATCATAATAAGCTCATGAAGAATTTACCAACTATAGCCAATAATAATATAGTATACACTGAAAAATTTTTAGGAGGTTAAATCTCATGATAAGTGTTCTTTCCACAAGAAAAAACATTCACCAAATGTGAATAGGTGAAGGCAACACAAGGAGAAAATGAGACAGGAAAATTTTTGCAGGGCAGAGTCAGAAGTCCAAGCAGAAAGCTGGTGCCTTCAGGACATATTCCCAGTGACAGCCTCCACTTACTGACCACTGTCTGTGTGCCAGGCCACTTTCATATTAACTCAAAAGACCCTTAATCACTCTATGAAGTTGGAATTTAGTAGGGTTTTAGCTGAAGGTCGGTGAGGTTGTGTCCTGAGCAAAGCCACACAGCTTGTAAATCACATGGCAAGCATTAGGCAACATAGTCGGAGGCACCCACCATGCCCTCCATGTGACAGAGATGAGCCAGGATTGCAGCAGGCGGGCCCCAGAGTGAAGCCAAGCTCTGAGACCAAAGGGTACACACACATATCACGGATCAGGAATGTGGGATCAGCAATAGACTCTTACCACCTATTCTGCCAAGAACTTTCCTTAGTGCCCTAAGCTATTATTAGTAACCATAGAGACACAAAAATAGCAGATATTTACTTTCTGTTACGTTTCTAACAGTAGGGAAATCCAAACCATAGTTCTGTTCTGGTGTCCTGTCATTGTTCTGTTACACAAACCATTGTGTGGTCATGATTTGCTCCTGGTATTTACCAAAAACACTGTATTCTACAGTGTTCTTGATACAGGTGGGTAGGGCTCAAAATCTGAATACAGAAACCAGAATAGATCATAGTCCGCCTGGGAAGAAGATCGTACTGGATAGCTGCTGTGTTTGCCTGCCCTGCATCCATTCCCCATTCTGTACTAGCACCCTGATTTTCATTTGGCTACTGCTGCTTCTCACTTAAGTCCTTGGAGTTCTAATAGCGTTGATCCCCATTCCCAGACTCCAAGAATGGACACATGACCCAGACTTGTCCAATTAGCATATTCCATGCCTTTCGTGACAATCATTGGCTCAGGGATGGCAAGTGGTACAAATTAGTCCAATCAAGAGCTGATCTGAGAGTTTTCATTGGAATATCAAGAAAGGAAAGGACTCCTATGGGATTAGATTTGCCAGGGATTAGCTGAATTTTCCAGGCCACACCTCACAGAGTAAACTGGCTGAACTATTTGCACCTGTGTATCCTGTCATCCCAAAATTTCCTCTCCTAGTTTTTTTCAGATATGTAAGACAATGACTTTTTTTTTTTTTGCCTAAGCCTGCTTAAATTAGAATTTTCATCACTTAGAAAAAAAGTCCTAAATAATTGAGAGCCACGTGTAACTCAAAGGTCATTGATCTTGTCACCAATTTACACTTAATGTGAACTCACTAGTGATCATAGTGCATGAGTAGTAAGATAATTGGGATGAGGGAAGAAAGATTGGTCCTTAATCTATGAGCAGAGCTAATATTACTAGAAAGAGAGAGAGTTTAAAAAATAAGAAATCTACAGAAAGCTAAAAAGAATACAGGTGAGATTCATCAGGAGAAAATCAAACTGGAACATGCATGCTCATTCTCTGGAAAACAGAAAAAAATTAAATCTGAGAACAGAAGGTTAGCAAAAAAAATGTGTCCCTAATCTAAACTGTAGGGGAGCAGGAGGTTGGAGAGGCTACATTTTTAAAAGAGGCAAGAAGATTAGAATGGGAACAGAAAAGGACAAAGCATTTCAAAATAGACTTATTTGGGACAATTTTCAGTAGGAAAAGGCATTAAAGTCTAGGATTTTAACCTCAAAATTTAAATTAGGCAGCTAATTCAATCTGCTGTTTAGTGGACAAAGTTAGAAAATCTATCTGAAATTGTCATTACTAGCAAACACCCTATTTTCGCATATATTTAAGGATGTTGGGAAAATAGCCAGCACAAAATTCATAATGCTCAAATTCATTCATAATCAAGACTCCATGCTGACAGACAAAAGTGAAAACAATTTAAGCATATAATTCCATTTTAATAAAAAAGAAGAATTAACCCCTACATAATCTCAGGCAAAGAAATAGTCTCTCTCTCCATAAAAGGATTTTATAATTCCATCTGATTCAACAGTATCTGCTTCTAGTTTTCTTCATGCACAGTAATTAGTAGATTACATAACACCATGCATCTCTGCAAGTGCCACACAAATAAAACTAGATGAAGTATGAGAAGAGTGAGAGAAAAAAACCATTCATTTGCCTAAACCTTTCCATCCAAGGCCTAACTATAACTGAATGACAGGAAATGTCTGATTTCAATCTAAAGGACAAAGACTTAACTACAACAGAAAATACAAAGGAAAAGGTGTTAAACAAACAAGTCAGATAACTAGGGTGAAAAATGGAAAAACATCAGCATGGTGGCAAAATTATACCTCATCGAGATCTTCAAGCTCCAAGTATATTTGCTTTGTAAACTTAGGAGTGATTCTAAGATGTGGCAGAAGTTAACATATAATCATCCTAAATGACTGTACTAACTACTACAGTATTATTTTATGTAAATTAAGAATTGGGCATTAGTTTGGAGCTACCCAAATGCATGTATTTTACTCTCTGGTCATTGATTCCAGCATGTTCCATCTGTGCCTCTGAGGGTCCTGTACATATGTACTATGGTCAATAGTTTACACGGCTGAAGCTTCTGTGGACTGTGAACCTCTCATAGCTAGAACCACCTCTTGCTCATTATTATTCATCTGCTCTACAACAAGGCTAAACCACAAGGAGCCTTGGCAAGAGCAAATAAATGTCTCCCTTTTAATTTTAATTGGTATTTTTAGCCAGTGACGTAAAACAAAAATTTTAAACCCAAACTGCCACAACGTTTTGGTGCACTAACATCAGGAACATATCTGGGAATCATTTTTATATATGATACTAAAATTCAAGATAATCTGAAAGGGAGAGTCTCTTCAAAACTTAATGAAACCAGGGTTACATAAAGAAATTTTGATATTACATTACACTGGATTTTTTAGATAATTATATTGTATCATTCCTAAAGATATAATATATATGCATTTGGTTTATTTTGTATATGCTTTTAAAGCCATCATGATTAGTAATAGCAGGATTTTAGTACCATTTTATTATTGCTATGGTAAGTAGTACTATTCAAATAGTAGGATTTTTTAATTAAAAACTGTTTTTCAATAAAACAAATGAGTGAAAGGATGCTGTGATTTCAGTAAAGCTGGTCCCAGGGAGGTCCATGGAAGTCCAAAAGCCCTTAAAGCCAAGGGCTGTAGCATAGAGTTTATGTGAATTGGGTACATGAACAGAAGGCAACAGTATTATCCTTAAATCTGCTGGTGTAAAACAGGCCAAACAAAGCAGGGAAGGTAACATCTTCCTATGTTGACAGGTAGTAACTGCACTAGTTGGGGTGAGGATTTAATAATGTAGGTAACTGTGTTGAACTACTGTGTTGTACACTTGAAATCAACATAAAATTGTGTATCACCTATACTTCAACTAAAAACAAACCAAAAAAGCAGTGCAAGGCCATCAATTGCAGCCTACACGACTGAGAAATCCATATCTTCAATCCCAGCTCCAACCCTACACTTCAGGTTTTATATCCAACTGTTCCAGACATTGCCTGGATGCTCTGTCGCAAATGGACCCTGTCACCCTTCCAGAGAGTAGCGGACTCGGGAGCCCGGGGCCTGAGCTCCAGTCAGCCAGCTGCTTCACCTCCCTATGCCCCAGCTTCGCCATTTGAAAAAGGTGATTAATTAAAAAGCTCTACTCCACAGAACTGACACGAGGATTAAAACAGTGTCTGGCACATATGGAACTCTACATACCTGTTTAGTAAACAGATAAAACTTTTTGTGCAGCCGTCAGTAACTTGTTCCTACCTACTTTCTAGTGGGTCACGGCCCTCCTGCTTTCTTTCATTTCCTTCCAAAGGCCGAGCTCTTCCTTGCTTTCGGACCTTTCACTTCCTTCTTGGCTTTTCTCTGATTTCCTTCTGTTTTTATCCCCAGGGGCCACCAGAGACTTCCTGAAGTGATAACATTTTGTACAACATCAAAGTTCTTTCCACGGTGGCTCCCATCTTAGTAGAATCTAAGGGGACAAGAAGGGGGCTGTCAACAAGGCAGAAGCTGTCTTCGAATACTGTTACTATAATGCCATAGAAATCGATAGTCACAGAGTCGCACGGTCCTGGGTCCCAGTTCTGGCCTCTCCACTCCCTGGCCAGTATCTCCTGCCAGTCACCGAATCCACCCCCCCCACAGCACTGTTCTCTCTAAAATTAAGACCGAGGTTCCGCCTACTCTCCAAAATTCTTAAAAGTATTTCATGAGGTGATGAATGTGCAAGGGCCCTATATGCCAAAAAGGATTTATAATTTAGCATTATTATTAGTTCCTATTACTCTGTCCTCAGAATAAGGACTAGAGTTCAAGTATATCACCTTTCAGGAAAGCATAAGTCTTCATCTTGATAAATATTTTTCATTCTAGTTTGTCATAGGTTATTAGTTTAGTTGAGGTCCTGCATTTTTACCAGGTGTGAAGACAGTTCCCTAGATGCTGTGTTGTCACAGACCTGACCTGTGTCACTCTAGAGAGTTTGATAAAGGCTGTCATTCGGTAATACAACTGGAATGTGTTTAGATACGTTTTCTTTTCATAAAAGTCCTTATAATTGACAGAACCAAAAAAAGAAAAGTGTGCCCCAGAAAAAGAAGAAAGGAAGGAGGAACACAAAAACTAATTATTTAAGGGACCGCTCTGTGCCAGACACTAAGGAAAAGAGTCAAGCCTGGCACAGCTTTCATGGCCCAAGGACCAAGGCCAGAGGTGTGGCAGAACCTTCCCAAGGTCAAGGCAGGGTTACAGAAACTGTGGCCTATTTTAAATGTTGTACATTTAATAAATCAATGTCTTTAACAGGGGGAAAAAAATCTCAATGCACTATCATTGTACCAGCTATAGGATAATTACCTTTTTTAAAATATCAAATCAAAGTGCACCCCAGGTCATGGGGTTCCCATCATAGGTCACATGCATAAAGGTGAGCAATGAATTGCTTCTACTTAAAGTTCTGTGTGTTCGGGTCACTGTAAGTATAACCTCACTTATAGATAATGTCAAGGCTTTATTTGTGAGTGTGAAGTTTGAGCCAGCTTTGCTCCGGCCTCCGCCCTGGGATGGGCCTGGTTCAAAGCAGGGTGTTTTGACCTAGCACTTTGATGCAGCCATGTGGTGTCAAACCACCTTGTCAATATGTGAAATCGCTGTCTTTTCAAAAAGATAAAAAAGATATTCCCTACCAGGGCTGGATTCAGGTCATCTGGGCCGAAGTCTTATATTTGAAGGTTAAGGAAAAAATATGGTACGAAGGTAACAATCTTTTTAGAAAGAGGAAAAGACACATAGCAAATACCAAAGTTTAAAAAGTTGCAAAAACACAAATATCAGAAAACCCAGAAAAATAACAACTTTTATTCACTGCCTCAGCAGATCTTCTAAAGAACATTTTCCTAAATTTTTTGACCTATGCTTCTTGACCATCTTTTCATATGCCAATGATTTTGTAATATCAGTCCTTAGAGAGAATGAGAAAATAATTCTTTCTTGTAGCATCATTGATCAGAATTTGTTTTAAATTATTGGTAGTTTAGAGAAGTTGCTGAAAGTTGCTACTCAGCATCACAATTTGTTACTGGTAAATATACATCCATTCTAAGGATTGCTGTCAAATTTTGGAAAACTTCCATGAGGTTTCTTTTATATATGAGCTTAAGGTTTCAGGGCATCTCAAGCTTTCCTGTACAGTAATCAATCTAAAATACTCCTTGAATGAACTTAATAACTAGTCAGTGAACTTCTTATAATTCTACATCATTATTGTTGTTGATATACTTCATTTTAAATCAGTCAGAAATATGAATATATTTCCCATATATATCCACGAACTTCAGGGAAATGTTGGGATGCATAAAACATGTGTATTCACAAAGATGTGTGTGTCCTAAATCAGTAATTCTGGTAAATTCCCTTTGGAGAGATTTCCAGAATATTTCTAATGTATCACACACATTATCAAGTATAGTCCTGGCAGCAAAGAGCTTCTTTTTGACAAGGCATTGATGAGAACTGAATGACTTTCTCATGATTTTGTGTGCCTAATGGTTGGAAGAATTTTCTACAGACTGGCAACTGGCTCCATATATTTCAAGTCATATTTCTTCTCCACTACCCACAGTTCACTCACATTTTACCATGCAGGCTCTTCTGGCCTTATATTTTTGTGTCATAACATTGGTGTGTTGAAGCCATGGACAGTATGATTGGGCCTGGAAGTGACTTCTACACCATGACTGCAAACAATGTAAACAGACCCCTTTGACCTAAACATAAATGGACGCCAAACTCATTTTCCTGTAGCCTGTTCCCTAAAGGGCCTGGGGCCACCCCAGTGCCACTCAACAGGAGAAAAAGTGACAAGCAAAAGTGAGAGTGGAAAGAGAAAGCAGCCTTCATTAATTTAAGCTCAAACAATTTTCTTTGATGCATTTTATAAAAGCAAATGACTATACCTACATATTATTCGGGCCCTCCCAGGGCTTTGAAACGTGCCGTGCAAGAGAGAGGCCTTGAAGTTTATGTGTCAATATTTTGCCATGAATCTGCTTCAGTCCCTGAGTTTTACTCTCATCCCTAACCTCAAACTTGATCATGAAGAATGGTCCTCTTTAAAATGTTATTTCTGTATTTGAATACAAAGTATGTTCTTCTGTGTGAATAAGCTTTACTTTTAAAAATCAGGAAAACAGCACAAATTTTTCAAGTCTATTGGAACTAATCAAGTTAGACTCTAAAACAAATCACCTGTTCCCCCAGTATCCATTTTATTGTATGGATTAGTAATTAGTAAAATGCAATATATATAATGGACTACTGAGAAAACTATTAGAAATTTAACTGAGTGTTTTCTGGAGAATGAGATCTTATTGTGCTACAAAAATCCTCTTCTTGTTCCCATCTCTACCTTGCCCAAGGGTTAATATATACCCAATCAAATAGGGTTATAGAATCAAGCCAAACTAATGGTGATCATCCTATAGATTTTCAAATGAAAAGACAAAAATGAGTACTTCAATTAAATGAACACATCTGTTTTCTTGATTAAAAGCAAATGAGAATAATTGTCTTTTCAAAGGTGAATCTGAGATACTGAGATATAGATGATGCAAGTTGAATTCTCGGAAAATGGACATCCTCCTGGCTTAGAATGTTGGGTAGCCCTTTCTGAGATTAGCAAGTGTGTTAAGACTGTATCCTTTTTCCATGTAGTTTACCAACCATTTGGGACCACATTTCCATACCATCTCTCTCCCAAGCTTGACACTAATCCATCCCTGATCTCATCTCATCCCTAATACCTACCCAGGAAGCACAGGCTGGAGATGGAGTAAAGTTCAAAGATGGGGTAAATATGATCCGTGTTTTATTAGTAATTAAAACAGATACACTTTTAGGGTTTATTTTTTACAGTATGGCAAAATATTTTCACTTCATATCACTGAATCAAATGGCTATATCCAAATATCAAGAACCCCAGTGAGTTATATTATGAAGCAAAAATCATAGAGGATTATATACAGTTTGGTTGAATTCTTAAGCAATAAACTTATCCCCATATTGCACAATATTTCTGGGTAGAACAGCATATTTCTATAACTCTATCATCTCCCTAACCATTCCTTAGCAACTTATTTTATAGATGTGTCTCAATAGCTATTTTCAACAGAACTACATTTTAAGGAGCATAAAAAGCATATGCTCCTTTTCCATTCTGATGTTGGGTTATAAAATAAAGCAGCCCACAGTGACTATCCCATTGTGCAATACTTTGGGACAGAAATTTTACCTTACTCGGGAGAAGGAGCCGACAAATGCTAAGGGAGTATCTCCTGGCCAAAAAAAACTAAAGAAGTTCCTGATTACAGCAGGGTAGGTGGCTAGGCATTCACACATACCTCCACTTTAGGACTGCTTTACTGAGTCAGCACAGTGAAATACGGTAAAATGGATCCACAAACCTTCCAGTGGCTTTTGTTTCCTTGATCTGATCCTTATTTCAGTGGATGTCTCCAAGACCAGGCATGTATTCCTTCCTTCAGTCATTCATCCACCAAGAAAGGATGACTTTCTATATGCTGGGAAATGAAGATACTGCATTGAATCAAACAGGCATGGCTCTTGCCCTCAAAGAGCTAACAGTTGAGCATGAAAGATAGACAGTAAACAAAACATTACTCAGATAATTATTTGATTTCCCCCTTGTTTCCAGAAGTACTGGACTTGACTCTGTGAGTTGGGGAGGAGGAAAGATGTCTGCCAAGAATTCCAAATCCATACCTCTTCACCATGAACCCAAGGCAAGTCTGCTTCTACTCTAGCCCCAAAATTGTAAGGAGGGAGGACCATGGGTGACCAGGTGGCCTTGGGTCACTGAGACCGCCTCCTGATCATAAGCCCACCCTGTGTGGTGGTGATCAGGAAGACGTGTTATCAGAAGAGTGGAGATGGGTAGGTTTGCTTCTCAGACCAAAACAGAAAGGCGGTAGCCTTATATCTACATCTTTATAAGTATCTGGGGGCTTATTCTAAGACCAAGCCGAAAGTGCAATATTTTAGGCAAGATAGTGATGTGATCAGGTTTTTAAAAATCACCCTGGCTGCATTGTGAATGGTGTGAATGAGAACAAGAATAGAGGTAAAGAGACAAGTTAGAAAGTTATTTGAGGCAAGAGATGGTGATGTCTTAGTTTAGGGTGGTGGCTTTGATGATGGAAAACAGTAGATAAAGTCAAGAGCTATTTAGTAGATAAAATATCAGCAGGTGGCTGACTATGAAAGGATAATGAAAAGGGAGAAGTCAAGATAAATACGACTTCCAACTTAAGCAACTAGCTTAGCGATTCTTAACCTGGCTGCTCATTAAACTTACCTGAAGACCCTCATCCCAAGATTCTGATGTAATCAGGTAAGCAGGGGGCTCAGGCACACCTATGTTTTCAATGCTTCTCAGATGTTTCAAAGGTGAGGTCAGGTTACAGAATACCTGAATTAGGTGGTCAAGAATTCCCAGGGTAGAAAATACCTGACAGGGAGGGAGGTTGAGGGAAATTTGCATGAGTTTCCAGCCTAGAAGATGATGAGTCAGCAAATAAGACTATGAAGTGCTGGTAAGTTAGAAGGGAACCAGGAAAATGGGGTGTTGCCAAAATCAATGCAAGAAAATATTTCAGGAGGAGAGTGAGTGTGTAAGTGGGTTAAAAGCTGTGTTTAACTTTGGCAGCACCTGGAACTCCACCCTCCGTCCAACCATCAGTCCTCTGGGTCCTCCCGGTGGTAAGTCTACCTTGATGAGACAGCGTTTAGCAATAAATTGTTATTTAAAGGTCGAATTGTAGGAGACTTCCAACCCTAGTTTTTCAGGATTTGAAAAATAATTAAAATCTCAATTCAGATACTAAACATGAAAGATAACATTCCTTCTGCCCATAAACTCATGACTCTTAGCACTTAGACATGTATTATGTTTGCCTATTTGTGGCTTTAAACTTGGCAAGTTTTGCAACTGTTTTAGGGTTCGGTAGCATTCTTTCTGTTGCCAGGCCTACCCAGGGTAAAACAAACAGAGGGATCTTTCAGGACTTGCCTCCTCTTTGGATCCCTACTGAACTGGGTACAGACTTTGGTCACTATCAAGGTGTCTATACCATTTTATTTCATTTCTTTACATGTGTGTCTCCTTCTGACTTCCCTGAGGGCAGGTAATATAGTCCTATATGAACTTGAATCTTAAGCACCTATCATGGTACTTAGCACGTGGTACGTACTGAATAAATGTTTGAGGAATGAATGGAAAGTTGCAAAATTTTTCTGTGAGTTCATGAACAGCCAATCTGGAAATTTCATCTCTAAGTATTCTTTCATCATAGACTGTAAAATATTGTTTAAATAAAGGATGTGGTTTATCCATGTTTAAGTTTTAGGTCAGTTTTCTTTGGAGTTAGTAGAATCTCATTCCAGTACAAATTATTTAATCCCTTGGTGCCCTGGGAGTTCTGCCTATAAAATAAGAATGGCAATGCTGATTTCCCTTGGAACTGCAGTGAGGACTGTTGAACTCAGAACTCGATTTGCCCCTAAGAAGTACTCCCTGGGTTTGAGGACCAATAGATAATCATTTCTGACTTGTTCTCTTTACAGTATATGCTGGTTCAGATGTGAAGAGGACAACAGGTAAATTCCCTGGGTCTAGTTACAATAGCTTCTAGAGCAAGTGTTAAAGGCTGAATCTTGTGACCAATAAAGGGTTCCCCATGCTAGGAGCTGGGTTAATCATGTCACACTTTGCCAAAGTGACTCTTCTGGAGGATCCAGCCCCTTCTTGGCTGGACACTGAGCAAATGAAGCATTCATGGCCTCAAGGCAGACCTAGGCCAGCTGCAGCAAATGTAATCAAAACTGACTTTAAGGTCATATCAGACCTGGATTAGTTTGTTTAGAGCTAATCTCTCCTTTAGTTCAAGTCTGCTGTTCAGTTGGTTTAAAGGACTCTTGGTGGAAATCTGTTAGAGAAGTAAGAGATTACCTTAACCAAGGGCAATCTTTCTAATTGCAATTTAAATAATAAAATGCATTTCCATTTGTTATATGTCCACTTGACATATAGTAGTGATTATATGCCAAGCTTTGGAAGTGCCTGACAGCATTATATGTTCACATGGGTTGTAAAGATCTCCATTTTACACATGCAGAGAGTGAGGCTCAGAGACACTGAGATATCTGCCTAGCATTACACAGCTGGCAATAGGCAGAGACCAGATGAAACTCTCATCTCCCTGACTACCCGTTCGGCCTCTTTCCTACCATACAGTATTTCCTGATAGACCCCCATCTTTTCTCCATAGGCCTCTAATATGCTTTTATTTTAAAGCTAAATGTCATCCTCTTATCAGCTATTTATAATCCAACCTCAAAGGACAGACACATAGGTTTTCTTGTCATTTAGGATAAATTTAAGGCAAAAACAAAAAATAAAGTGAAAACAACTATAATATTTAGCTGTCTGACCTTGGTGAATAATCTTGTTAGATTATAAGTGAAACCTAGATTTTCATTTCCTTCAGTAGTTTTTTTTTATTATTTTGTTTGTTTCAGTACACAAATAACACCAGATCTGTGATCATCTTTGTTCCTTTACTTCTAAAAGGTCTAAATATGTTATTTCTATAACATTTCAAATTCTTTTTCCTGCTTTTTACACAGCATGCACATTATTTTACTAGATTTATCAGGACAAGCCTTTGAGTTGAATGTGACAAGCTTCAGGAGGTAGACATTAGAGCCAGTTTGCTAGGCAGAGAAAAGGACAGGCAGAACTCAGAAGTACTGAACTCAGGGACAAATGACAGAGCCTGTTCCTGGGGAATGCAAGTAAGTCTGGGTTTCATGTGCTTTTAACACTATAACATGAGGGATTTTTCAGGTTCTTAAACTTCATCCACAAGGACCTAATAGAGTAAGACAGAAATCATAAAGATCATGTTGTGGTCCCTGGGAAAAGAGAGTTCCACTTCCTCCAACAAGGCCTAGGTGGACCATACAGCATGAGAACCCAGGTCAAACTGACCCTGTGGATTAAAGACAGTAGTAGATTTCCTCTCAGGCTTCAACTCCAAATGATTAGAAGGAGCTATCTGAAATGCCGGGTAAGCAAGATTCTGAGGCTGTGTCCAGGCTTGGTGACAAGGATGTGGTAATCCATCCATCATGCCTAGCACGGGCAGGGGGCTGTGACGAGGCCGCACACATGCCGGGATTGCCGTATGCAGAGGGAGGGCAATGGCCCATGTAACAGCTCGAAGAGAAACTGAGCTCCTAATGTGGTGTACGTCACTTTTACAATGGCAAGAGCCCCATTTCACAAACTACCCCAAAGAAAACTTATGTGACATACTTATAGTTATTTTTAAAAACAAACCAAAAAAAAAAATGAAGCACAAAGAAATGGAGAGAAGGGCATATTATTCAGGAAAGGCACAAACAGACCATGTTCCTGTGACGCCTCTGTGTCCAGGGACAAGGGACCATTGCCAGTTAGTACAGAAGGACACCAGATCTGGCAGAGCTGTCCCTGCTGCCAGCCTGAAGGGCAGCACAGTGGACGGGGTGAGTGGGAAGCCCACACTAGCACATGCCGGCACAGAAATTCAAAGGGGCTGTGCCGGCACATGTGCCGACCACACCAGCAAAATAGGCACCCAAGGGTTATGGATCCCCATGTGGAAAGCTGCTTGGCTGGTGACCCCAGGCAGGACTCCTGGGAGGACCTCAGTGGCTGCCACAGGCTTGTTATTGGTGCTCTTCTCCATGTGGACGGCTCCTAAACATGATGTCTGTCTCATAGGTTACATTTCTCTGCCTTGAAACATTCACTGCATGGTGGGGGGAAACAGGCACGTATTAAATTGCAGCTCAGAGAGGCGACCGTCATCACAGGGACATGGATGAGGAACAGGGGGAGGCAGGGACCTGCCTTGTCTGGGAAGGTCAGGGAAGGCTTCTCTGAGGGGACATTTACTGGGCAGAGGAGGTCCTCTGGTCACAGAGAGAAGGACAGACAGAGGCCTGAAAGCAACAGCACAGCGAGCCGACAGCACTGAGTTCAAGGCCCCGGAGCACAGCGGGAGGGAAGGAGTCAGCAGAGGGTGTGGATCACAATGGTCAGTCAGAAAGTCACAGCGGGTTTTTAAACAGATATGTCACATCTTTGGCGTTCAGTGCTGCTGGCAGCATTGTAAAGACTGGATAGGAAGAGAGATAGAAATGCTTGTTAGGAAATTGCTACAATTGCTCATTTTAAAAATGATGACTACAAGCAAATTCAAGCAATAATAGGAATTAAAATCATCTGGATTTAAAGACTAATGGGTTAGAGGTAAGGGCAAGAGAAAAAGAAAAGAGGTCAAGCTGACTCCCTAGTTTCAGGTTTGGGGAGACAACAGGGCCATTAATGGGCTGGAACAGACAGAAGGAGCAGTGGGTTTCCATTTCTCTACACACCTTCTGTGACACCAGGAGCTAAATCAATAGTCACTGGTAGAAACGCATGAGCTTTGAAGTCAGAGATTAGGATTCAAGTCCACTGCTTCACCCCCATTCAATATCCACATGATGTTGAACAAGCTACTTAGCCCCTTTGAGCTTCAATTTTCTAATGGTAGAATTGAGATAAAAGCATGCAGCTCCTAAGGCTGATGTTGAAGTGAGATGGGAGTATGTCCATGGGATACTTGGTACAGCCTTGCTATGTTTTAAGAACTCAATAATGAATAAATAGATTACTGTTTCCTTTTTACAAAGTAAGCAATAGGATAAAAAA